GGAAGGGTGAAAAATGCATTTGATAATTTCACCAGTCTTCCTTTTAAGAAGTGTTTCAGTAGGCAATCTATCGGCCTACCTTCATGAGGTTCAAGCGGCTCTTTTATACCATGAAGGCCCTCTTTTCGCCATGGTACTCGTGGTGCCTTTCTGAAGGGTAGGCGAAAATTCATGAAAATCCTGGCTAGAACTCTTTGAGATAATCAATGTCGTATACTTTACCTTCGTGGTTCTTGACCGCTTCAGGCTCTTTTTCGACTTGTTCATGTCTTTCGTGGGGTTCCAGGTGGTGACTTCCTGCAAAATTGGGAGCCGGTAATATTCCGGTTCTGATTTGTCCTCATCGTGCTCTGGTGTTTTGTGATGCTGCCGGTGGAGCTCTGAAAAAAAGAGAATTACAACAGCAGGACTTCTTCTTTCTGAGGTGTTTTCGTGACCAACTCCCTCAGACATTTTCTTGTACTTTCAGCTCTTCCACTAGTTTGTTCTTGCTCACTTTATTTGCAGACTCTTACCTGATTTTAAGTGGTTCCACCATGTGATCCCCAGTGGGTATTCAGGTCCAAAGTGCTCCTTAAGATTCAGTCCGTGAACAGCTGCGACAATCGCAGAAACTATGAGAATAGCCTTCATTCTGGAATTGCAGTCTTTCTTACCGACAGAACTAGGATACAATGCTACTGAGATTTCCGAAAAAAAAGTGTGCAACTTCACTCAGGTTAGATAACAAAGCCGAGATGCTGATCAAGGCTGCTGATATCCCGATAGGTTCCCTATCGTCATAAATTGACGCAGAATAAATGGTGATACCAATTTAAAACAATGTCGAAGGGATCCCCAAAGTTCGAAAACGGGTGTCATTACCAAAGTGAGCTGTGGTTGTTTGCTGATTTGAGTCATTCCTCCAGAAAGCATAACTGCCCCTATTTCTGGCTTAGCAGTACAAATTTCATAGAGTGGCGACCGCAAGCACAGGTAGGGATGTGACAATTTTTACATATCATAGTTTTACTTAACTTCAGAGAGGGGATCGAGAGAGGAGATGGGAGGTAAACCAAAACATGGCAGAGTGGTTCCAGACGAAGAGGAGAGGGGAAACTTCAGAACTTCCTTCCCGACACTTCCTTATATCCCTAGCTTCTGTTGTCGCATTGCGTATGAATGGTACCATAAGCAATCAAAAATCTACAAAAAGCCCCTATAAATGTTTGAAAATAGATTGACGAATGACATGGGCGTGGATTTAATACAGCAATGTGAGCGTAATATGCGAATATTTTCCATGAATTTGATGAATTTTCTCAACGAAACGTCTTCAAAAGTTTTTAGTTGACGTTATTTGGAACATCAATACGTTTCTGAAGGAGCATACCAAGACGCGAGCAGTGGCATGATCTCCTTGGCCACAATTTCCCTAGATGACCTTTAACATGCTCACATTGGCTCATTTCTGGGAACAGCGTAAGGAATAGCACGTAAAATGTGCTCATTTCATTCGAGAACTTCGGCATAATGTGCGGCTGTTCATCCATTTTTTGGGTATGGCGTCGTCTAG